GAAAGAGTTAAAAAGGCAACTCCTGCCCTTCCACCCAGCCTCCTCTTCCTTCAGGCATCTCCACTTTTGCCTGGATTTTTGCAGCACGCAGATCAACATCCTTAAATGCCGTAGCCTGGGTTCTTTGCAAAGGGGAAAAAGGATTTTTATTTTATTTTATTTTTTACCATTGGATCCCCTTTTTTAAAATCAATTAAAGAAAATAATGCTTTCTGTTTTCTGCCAGGCCCCGCCTGCCATTGGCCAAAGCCGGTCATGTGACCAGGAATTGGCTGCAATTTCGCCCCAGTCTCCTGTTTAATAGAGCAAGGTCCCCATACGCCTGTATTATCAGCAATATAAGAATTATAAAAGCCTGAGAATCATAATCATCGTAATAATAATAACAATCGAGGCCCTCAGATTTCCTCCCTCCTCCTTCGCCTCTTCCCCTCCCTTCTACCCTGGGCCCTGGAAAAGCCATGAATTTTGAATTTGAGAGGGAGATCGGGTTTATAAATAGCCAGCCTTCGCTCGCAGAGTGCCTGACGTCCCTTCCCGCTGTCCTGGAGACATTTCAAACTTCATCAATCAAGGACTCGACATTAATTCCTCCTCCTTTTGAGCAAACCATCCTCAGCCTGAATCCTTGTTCCAGCAGCCAGCCGAGACCTAGAAGCCAAAAAAGAGCAACCCATGGCCTGGCCCAGCAGCCCCCAATCCATCCCGGCCCTTTGGCTGCAGAATTCCCCTGGATGAAAGAGAAGAAATCCACCAAGAAAGCTACCCAGGCTCCAGTCTCCTCTTCCTCTTCGCCAACCTCCTCCTCGGTTCCAGGATCTGCTGCTGGATCTCCTGCAGGTGTGTACACTGAGGGGGTGGCGGGGGGCTTCCAGGGACTGGGGGGTTTCTACTAATAACCCTATTGACATCCTTCCCCCCCTACTCCATCCTTCCCCCCTTCTCCATCCTTCCCCCCCACCCCCTTCCCCCGCTCCATCCCCGAATCTGTATCACGCAATAAAAGACGCCGCAGCAATATGCCCCCTCTTGCTCCTGGTTTAGGCTGATTATTTTATTGCGAATCAAAATGCTAATCCCGGCTATTTCTGCACATCTTTCAAAGGCGACAAGTCCACTAGTTATATAACAGCAGCGGTTGGAAGGAGAAACCAGATTTTAATATGACAGGGCGCCCGCGATTCCCGCCAGGCTAGCAAGAGCTGTTTTACAGACCGCGGGGGAGAAAGGAGATGTGCAGAGGCTTTTGTGTCTGGGTCGGTGCGGGGAAGAGCCGGAGAATCTGCCCCTTCAGTGTCCGGCATTTATCCAGTTGTGGAATAAAGGCAACCTCCCCCTTTCAAAACCTTCCCGGGGACATAATGCAGCATCCTTTCTTTATCAATGAGCTCTCCATCAAGACTGGCCCCATATCATATATATATATATATATATTTGCATATATATATATGTGTGTGTGTGAGTACATATAGACACATATACATATACACACGCATAGTTATATGCATACATGATATGTGTGTCTGTGTATCTGTGCGATGTATATGTATGTATATATATACGTTTGTGTGGGTATATATGTACAGGTATACAAACACACATACACATATATATATATATGCATACATATACATATATATACACATATACATATGTATGTGTATGTAGGTGTAGATTATAAATATAGATATAATCAGGGCTTTAGGCTCAAGGGGACTGGAAGGGGTGGGTTGATTTTGTTTCCTTGCCTGGCCCCTCGGCAGATGGGAGGCAGGCCGGTTGGTGCCAAGGTGCTGGACTTCCCAAGGAAAAATCCACACACCCCCGCCCTTCTTCCCCTAGGATCCGGAGTTCCCAAACTGTTGGCCACAACTGTGCTGAGCTGGGCGCGATTCTCCCCAGCCAGG